TTTTTTTTTTTTTTTTTTTTTTTTTTTTTGAGATACAATTTTGTGTAGGCCAATGATAGCTTCAGACTTGGTCTGTAGCTGAGACTGACTGAACCCCTGATCTTTATGCTTCCATCTCCCAAGTACTGGGATGACAAGTGTCAGCCACCACAGACACTTTGATTTCTGAGAAAGGATTTCACTATCTAGCCCAGGCAGGTCTTGAACTTTAAATCATCCCAAGTGGGAAGGAGACCACTGGTGCCCAACTCAGATCTTCCTTCTTGGTCACTGACTTCTGTCATTTTCTCTTCTCCTTGGCTTTCTCTTCCCAGGATGGTCTGTCTCCAATAATGAAAACAGCAACTCTCAAATCAAGCTCAACATCATCTTCTTTTAGTTATTTTGCTTTTTGAGGCAGGGTCTTTCTATGTAGTCCTGGAGATCAATATGTAGACTAGGCTGGCCTCAAACTCATACAGATCCTCCTACCTTCTGGGATTAAGAGTGGTGGTATTTTTTTTTTTTTTAAAGTGCTGGGATTCAAAGACCATGCCACTATGCTGGCCTAGAACCTTTCCTACTGCACAGCTGGTAACCCACTCCAGGTCTTCCACACCATTAGCAGGCTTTCATGGCTGTTTGGAGGCCACTAGTCTCAGCCTTCAACTTCAGTTCTGTGTCTCCATCAAGTTACCGCATCCTTCCTGTAGGCTTAGTATCTATGATTCAGGTCTTCCTAATGAACAACCTATGTCCATGGGGACAAACATTTGACAGACTTCAGATGCTGTGTATCTCAAAAGGTCAGTTAAGACTCCTACTTTTGTTGTTGAAGAGTCTCATGGAGCCCAGTCTGTCCTCAAATTTACCACATTGCTGGGGATGACATCGACTCCTGATGACCTTGCCTCCACTTCCTAAATGCTGAGTTACAGGTGTATGCCACTTTGCCCAAGAGACTGCTAATTTTTAAAGCAATATACTCCTTTTTTTCTTTTTTTTTTCCTGGTTTTTCAAGACAGGGGTTTTCTTTGTAACAGCCCTGGCTGTCTTGGAACTATCTTGTAGACCAGGCTGGCCTCTAACATAGATCTCCTGCCTCTGCCTCCTAAGTACTGAGACTAGAGGTGTGCATCACCACACTTGGTTTAGAATTTCATTCCTCCAAAACAGATTAAGTCTGTCCTTGCACATAGTAAATTACACAAAAGGAATTTACTTGCACTGCATTTAAGTCTAAACTGCAATCAGGTCCTTCACGGGGTTTCTTGCTGTTGAGATAGGATTTCATAACATAGGCAGACCCTGACTTCATGATCCTCCTGCCTCAGCCTCCAGTGTTCACCAGCCACCTAGCATTCCCAGCTCTGTCTTTGCATTCTCAACAGTGTCCTTTATTTTGTTCTTGTTGTTTTATTTGTTGTTTGTTTTTGAGACTGTGTTGCTCAAGCTGGCCTCAAAACCACAACCTTTCTGCCTTAGAGTCCCAAATGCTATGACTACAGATAGGCCTACTGGGTTTGGCTTCTAACAAAACTGATTTACTCAGTACTTGTTAATTCCATTGTCTCTGCACAGAGTAACTTTTCCTTTGGTTCCTGTGATGAGTACTACATATCCCAAAGTTTTCCTTTGTCTGCCAGGAATGTAATAACTAAATCCTGGGGTCACTGATACATTTTGTCTTTTAACGTAGCTTTTGGTTGTTTTTGTTTTGTTTTTAGAAACAGTATTTCTCTGTGTAGTCCTTGCTCTGTAGACCAGGCTGGCTTCGAGCTTTGGGGATCAGCCTGCTTCTACCTTTCAAATGCTGTACCTAAAAGCATGTGTCACCACACCTGGCTTTTGTATTCCATTTTTAATTTTCTGTATCAGCATTGTCAGTTTGGAGACCACTAGTCATAGTGACAACTAAGCACCTGACCCAACAGGTACCTAGTTCATCTTGAGATGGGCTCTGAAACAGCTCAGTAATTCCTAATATTGATTACATGTTAAATATTTTGGATAGTTTACTGAAATTATAGCTCCTAAAATTATCTATTTATTTATATATGTGAACAAGTATATGGAATTCAGAAGACAATTTTATAGTGTTGATTCTGTGTTCCAGGGATCAAATTCAGGTTGCCAGGCTTGTGTAGCAACCTTCTGAACCTCCTCATAGTCCCAAATAGCTCCTAAAATCTTGAAATTATGTACCTCAAAAATTAGGCTTGCTCTCTGCTGGCCAGCACTGCTCTGTGCGCATGTGATTGCTCTCATCCTTTTGGAAAGCCAGGAAGTAAGGCAGGGGAGGGGACCACAGTGGGTGGAGTGAGTAGGATAGCCTAGAGACTTGTCTTTTGTCTGCTTTTGTTCCTACAATTCGCACACACAACACAAACAGCCAGCCTGTGGGAGAGTGTTCTCAGCTTTCTTCACCCCAGGTGAGTAGTAGCCCACAGCTCTTCCTGTTCTCAGGCGGCTCCCTACACATAGGAAAGGATTGGATAGGACAGGTCACTCACTACAAATGACTGATAACTGTGTTCACCTCTCTCTTTAACAGGGAACAATCCCTGAACCCAGTGGAATGAATCCCTAATGGTGGAGTTCCAGGCTTCAGTGACAGGTGAGTGAAGGCAGCCTCTGCATTTCTGTTATTCCATGCTGTCACATCCAGGATGGGACTGGGAAGAGGGTTCTCAGATGGAAAGGGCTAACAGACAAGCTGCGCAGAGAAGGAAGGCAGCAAGTCTCTAGTTGTGTTAGAAAGTGAAGGACCTTCAAGGGTTTGTTAAGTAATAGTGTAGCTGATGTCAACAGAGAGCAGGCAGCCAGACAGTCTCCATGGTAACAACTGTGCAGTAGCAAAAGGGATCTCAGGGTAGGGTTCTGGAAACTATGACTGCTGTCCACAACTGACTCGGCTTAACTCTGGGCAAGTCCTTCACCCTCTGGGTCTCAGTTTCTTCATCTGGAAAATAGAAATGGGCGCTATAGTCATGTGATAGTGCATACCCATAATCCTAGCACTCAGGAGGCTGGGGCTGGTGGATAGCTTGAGGCTAGCCTGGGCTACATTAGACCCTCTGTCAATAAAACAAAAACCCCATAAGGAACAGGTGCTGTAACTATCAGATGAGTTCTAAGTGCCATGAGGCTGCTCTGAGAATTAAGAAATAAACGATACATGAAAGGACCAGTGTCTTAAAATGGAAACGCAGCTGGGCAGGCCTAAAGCTGTAGAGAGTAAGACAGTGTGGAGGGCTGTGGGCAGTCCATATCTGGAACAGTCATTCTTCTCTGTCCTTCCAGGCTGAACCCAGACTCCCAGGGCCCATGCTTCCACCTGATGAACAATGGCCTGAACTATGAGCAAACGGGACTGTTTGAACACTTCGGTGCAGGAGCCTCCTCTTGACTACTCCTTCAAAAGCATCCACGTGATCCAAGGTCAGCCCACAAAGCACAGCCGTCAGCACATTACCGTATTCAGATCATGCCAGGAAGAACCTAGGAAGAATCCTTAGTCTTCTATTTAAAAGGCCTAAACAGATTTCCCCCAACTTCCCTTCTCTGAAGGGAGAGGGTGAAGTGAGGATTTTTTTTCTAAATAGAGATAAGGAGTGAAGGCAAAGACTCTGCCATGTAGGGCAAATGCTCTGTATCTGAGCTTTATCTTCAGCCTTGGGATTAAAAAAATATATATTTTAATTTTATATGTATGGATGTTTTGCTTGCACATATATCTGCACCCCTTGTATGCTTGGTGCAGACAGAGGCCATTCAGGGCATCGGACCCCCTGAATCTGGAGTTACAGATGGCTGTGAACCTCCATGAAGGTGCTAGAAATTCAGCGAGATTCTTTGGAAGAGCATTTCTTTCAGCTCCATTGAGATTTTTATGTCTATGAATGGTTTTCCTGATTGTTTATGCACTACATGCACATGCATGCCTGGTGCCCACGGAAGTCAGAAGAGGGTTTCAGATTCCCTAGAACTGGAGTTAGGGATTATTGTGAGTCATCATGTGGATACTGCCAATCAAGCCCTGGTCTGCAAGAGCAATGCATGCTCTTTTGTATGTGTGTGTGTGTGTGTGTGTGTGTGTGTGTGTGTGTGTGTGTGTGTGGTTTTCTCGAGACAGGGTTTCTCTAAAGCTTTGGAGCCAGTCCTGGAACTTGCTCTGTAGACCAGTCTGGTCTCGAACTCATAGAGATCCACCTGCCTCTGCTTCCTGAGTGTTGGGATTAAAGGTGCACGCCACTGCTGCCCAGCAGGAAACTGCTTTTTTTTTGTTTGTTTGTTTGTTTTTTCGAGACAGGGTTTCTCTGTGGCTTTGGAGCCTGTCCTGGCACTAGCTCTGTAGACCAGTCTGGTCTCGAACTCACAGAGATCCGCCTGCCTCTGCATCCCAGTGCTGGGATTAAAGGCGTGCGCCACCATCGCCCGGCCCAGGAAACTGCTTTTGAGGGAGGACTAGCCCCTCCCCCACAGATCCCAGCCACACACATGCTCTTAACCACTCACCACCCCTAGTTTTTAAAAGTAGCAAATCTGAAAGGAACCAGTGCTCTCTTGCGGTAGTTGACCTCTCTTGAAGAGAAGTCAGGCTACAGTGGGAAATCATGAAGAATACTGAGAAACCACCCAGTCAGTCAGGAGCCTTGGTCTTCTGTTTTTATCTTGAAAAGAGGAAACTCGTAGGAAAAATTAGGCTGCTGCCAGGTTCCACCAGGGTGGCAGAACCCAGTCTCTTGTCTAGGAGACATGACAGGTCTTTTTAGCAACAAATTGGCATATTCCCAGTTAAAATTTTTGACAGATTTCTTCCAATCATTCCATACATGCCACATTTACTCCATCATCACTGACATGCACTGCAGTTCAAGCTCTGCCCACATCCAATCTCATGTTACTCCTGTGTCTTCCTAAAGAGGCAGTTGACCCCTTTCAGAGCACCCTGTGTTCTGCCCCCTCTGCCTCTGGTTACTGACCTCACAGTACACATGTATTATCTGCCTCTGGTTGTCTGTCAGTCAGTCACCCATTATTATTAGCTCAGGAGAATGACTAGACTGGGTTTTATTTCGGGGCCTACTTCAGTTAGTGTCCAACACACTCATGTCTGTCTCTCCCCAGAACACACTCATCTACGACCTTTATTGTGCTTTCTATTACTTCTGACGTAAGACATATGTCAAAGGGGGTTTAGTTTCTGTGAATGAAAGCAGAAGTGTATCGTATCAAACTAACTCTTGATTTGTGGGCATGTGGGAAATGTTGCATGGCAACACATTGGAATTTAGGAAGAGGATCAAGGATTCCCTGTAGTTGGTGCCTCCCAATTTTAATTCTGTTAAGGGCTATATTTGTGGTCCAGTATCCAGACCTACTCTGAACTAGGAGCCTTTTAACATATGCTCAAGTAAAGTGCTAATTTAGTATAGCCTGAAGGGACAGGTACCTAAAGCAATTTTAGATGCCCCTGGCCATTTCATGTTAAGGCAACTGGATCTAGGGTCTCCCTCACAGCGTGGGACCAGCCTTTTATGTGACATTTCCCTAAACTGCATTATCAGAACAGGTGCTAGTTCATGTGTAATTATTCTGGCATTATTACTCATATAAGTCAAATCCTTTGAAAGTTTTTGGAAGGTATGAGAGGGAGACATGATTTGGAGTCTCCTCATGGACAGTAGTCTGCTCCATTATCCTTCTGGCCTCTACTCCCCCTGCCGCAGGGCTCAGCCTTGGGTCCTGTTAATTCCAAGACTGCTGCAGAGAGCCACCTGGTGGATGCGTTTGACCTGCAGCTGAGAGGAAGTGGTCAGCCAGGGTGTGGAGTGCCCAGGGCTTTCTCCCTGCAGACTTGCTAAATGGAACTTTACCTAAACTGTAGTCTGGCTCTGGATCCCCCCACTGATGCCAGCTTGGGCAGAGCCCACCCACCCTCATATGAATCTCATTTGAAAAAGACATTGGGGGTGGGGGTTCTGTGGGTTTTCTCTGCACCCTCACTTTCCAATGTGGGTATTCAGCTATCTGCTTGCACTTCCTATTTAACTGCACTCCAATTTGGCCTCTATCCTCAAGTAACATGGTTACCAGCTACTTCTGAGAATTACGAATCCCTGTCTTTCCTGGAACTTACTCCTCCATATCCTGTGGTCTCCCCAAACAACTTTAAACCATCCCTCAGGGACTCGAGAGGTGGCTTAGCAGGTAAGAGCACACACTGGGTTTGGTTTCCAGCACCCACATTGGCTCACAGCCATCTGGCATTTTAGTTCTCAGGGATCTGATGGCTTCTTCATGCTGAAACACACACATGCACACATGAAATTTTAACTAAACACAAAACCATTCTCTCCTGTATCTCCCTGTTCTTCAGATTATTCACTAACTTTTATGTCCTTCTCTTCCTCTCTGAGGTACACTGTACTAAGTTTGTGTGGCTGTTCTTCGGCTCTAGCCCTTCATTTTAATGACTACTTGCCCAGCTGGCTTCTCTTGCCTTTTCATACAACAGGAACTTAACACATCAAACCTAAACCTTTCCAATTCAGTTTTCTCGAGAAATTCTTCATCAGCTAATAGAGCCTGAACAAAAAGCGGGGCACCATCTTCAGATAGTCTTCTACCTTTACTTCAGCCAGCCAGTTCATGATTGCTGTGTCTACCTTATCTCACACTAAAGTAGACAAACTGATCATTGGATTCTATCTACCTTCTAAATCCATATTCTACATAGAAGCTTCAAAGTCACCTTTCAAGTGAAAAGCTGAATTATCTCTGGTGGGTGTTTTTTCTTTTTATGTACATGGCATTTTGCCTGCATTTTTCTGTATGGGTGTTGGGTCCCTGGAACTAGCGTTACAGATAGTTGTGGGTGCTAAGAATTGAACCTAGGTTCTCTGGAAGAGTACCCAGTGCTCTTAACCTTTGAGCCATTTCTCCAGCCTTCTTTTTTTTTTTTTTCCTTCTGACAGGGTTTCTGTGCGTAGTCCTGGAACTCACTTTGTAGACCAGGCTGACCTTGATCTACCTCCCAAATGCTGGGATTAAAGGTGTGCACCACCACCGCCTAGCTGAATTATGTTTTAAATACTTCTATGACTTCTTATTCCCTACAGGACAAAGCCTGGCATTTAGGACTAAGGACTGGCTCCACCCCGCTCTTGTGTCTTTGCTCAGTTGTTCTCATCCTTTCTCCCCTTTTCTGCCTGGTCAACGTCTCCTAATCTACAAAGTTCAGCTCAGATTTCACCTTCCCTGTTTGTGCTCAGTGCACCAAGCCCCTTTCCTTGCTGCAGTGACTGTGGGCTATCACCTAACACTCACTGCCAGTTTGTTTCCATCTTGCCCACAGAAATTCCTGAGGCACATAAGCTTCATCCCTGCCCTACAGCTCATCCAAAGCCTGGCAATTATCTCATTGTTTACTACTGTGTATCTACTATCTGATAAAGCTTGTAATTAATGGAGGAACGGACACTGGATGTGCTCCACTGAAGTAAATTCTGTAAGCTACACTAGAAGAGGATTCTGCATTTTGTGATCTCATCTTGGCTTACCCCAACAACTCTGGTTCTTCCTTTCCTTATCTGTAAAATGGGAAAAAGCCTGTGTGTGTTCCACTAATAGGGCTGGTATACACAGAATCCAATAATGCAATAGACATGAGAAGGCCATCTGACTTAAAATTCTTTAGCCCTTACTTACTCTAAGCTTACTCTGATCTTTGGAGCTTGAAACGGGTGGGGCGGAACCTCAAAGTAGCATTTGTAGGTTCATCTTTCCAGTTCTTCCTTTTCTCTCCCTAAAGGCGGAAAGGCAAAGATAATGAACCCAAGCCTTGAGCTAGAGTGATGGCATGGAGGTTAAGAGCACCTATTCTTCCTACAGAGGCACCAAGTTCAATTCCTAATACCCACACAGTGGCTCACAACCACCCCAATTCCAGTTGTAAGGGATCTTGCTTGCTCTTCTGACTTCTGCAGCCACCAGGCATATGTACATACATACAGGCAAAACACTCATACAAGTAAATAAATAAACTCGTCTTATTTTGTCATTATAGATCTGGTAAGCGAGGAGCCAAGGACAGGTCTACGACCAGTGAAGCACTCAAAGTCAGGAAAGTCACTGACCCAGTCCCTGTGGCTCAACAACAATGTCCTCAATGATATAAAAGACTTCAGCCAGGTGGTTTCACAGCTTCTGCAGCATCCAGAGAACCTGGCCTGGATTGACCTCTCCTTCAATGACCTGACTTCCATTGACCCTGTGAGTTCCTAGCCTCTGGCATCTAGTCAAAGGGTAGCTTGAAGCCACTGCTCCAGCCACAGCCTTTTTACTCCCTTGTCAAGGAAGTAGAGGCAGGGTGGTGCAGTTCAAACAATGGAGTTGTAGAGATACATTATGCAGGCACAAATCTTTAGTTTCCCCCATTATGTGACTGTAAATAACGTCTTTGTTTCTTGAGATGGCCTCATGTGTATCCCTAGTTGGCCTGGAACTCACTATGTAGACCAGGTTGGTCTTTACTTAAGAGATCCACCTGCATTTGCCTCCCTGGAGGCTCACAAGCTACATAGTTTCTTTTGGGGGGGGGTGTTGTAGGGGGTTGAGACAAGGTTTCTCTGTGTTGCCCTGGCTGTCCTGGAATTCCACTCTGTAGACCAGGCTGGCCTCCAACTCACTGAGATCCACCTGCTTCTGCCTCCCAATGGCTGGGATTAAAGGTGTGCGCCACCATCGCCCAGCAAGCTGCATAGTTTATTAAAACTTCAGCCTTCCTATAAATGGGGATTCAATGCCATACTCATAATGGTTTTGTAAGGATCAAATGAAAATGTTTGAGAACCAACTTGCCTGTCAGTGACTGGAGTAAAACTATAGCACTTCCTGTGTTTTGTGCTGAGCTCCATAGAGGAAGAGGTAGTAGAAAAGTACATCAGTTGCTTTCTGTGAAGTTGAAGTTTTAAAAACATAGTTTGGTCAAGAATGTTGGTGCTTGCTTGTAATTCTAGCACTTGGAAGTTAGAGGTAGGAAGATGAGTTCAGGGTCATCCTCAGCTATAATGAGCTTTATAGGCCATGAGAAAGGACAAGGAAGAAGAAGAAAAAAAAAAGGAAGCAAACTAGGGAGAAAAAAATTTCAGAAAAAGGAAAGATTTGGGCCCCTTCTTGCCCAAGACTCCTATTGGAGGGGAAAGTTTAGAGCATGACTTGGAGACTGTTCCCTGAAATATACAACAATATGAACTCAAAGAGCTGATACCCCTGCAGGCAGACTCATGGATCATCAGAGTTGGAAAGGCCTTAGCAGTAAGTTAAGTCTTAAGGAGAACTGCCACCTGACCACTCAAATGGATAACCAGATGCATGCCAGCTATATTTTAGGTTTTGTCCCTAAAAGGGACTTAAAAGGTTAATTTATTCATGTTAAGAGCATTTGTTGTTCTTGCAAGAGGACCCAGATTCAATTCCTAGCACATAAATGGTGCTTCACAACCATCCATATAACAGGTTCCTGGGGACCTGATGCCCTCTTCTGACTTTTACTAGGCTCTTATGTGGGGTACAAACGTACACACAAGCCAAACACACAAATAAAGTAAGGGCTAGAAAGACAGCTCAGCAGTTAAGAGTCCTTGCTGCCCTTCCAAGGTCCTAGGTTCAATTCCCATCACCCACATAGTGGCTCACAACTGTCTGTAAATCCAGTTCCAGGAAATCCAATGGCACCAGGCAGGCAGGCATGTGGTGTACATACATACACATAGGCAAAATACCCATACACATAAAAGAATAATTTTTTAAAGTAACAAAAGCATATTAGAGTCATCTAGAATGGCTGTGCGAGGTGCTGAGGGGCCAAGTTGTTCTCCACCAGACAGTCTGAGCAGAGATGGAGTCTTTGTCCAGCTGACCTTTGATTTCTGTCTTAACAGGTCCTAACAACATTCTTCAACCTAAGTGTCCTCTACCTTCATGGCAACAGCATCATTCGCCTAGGGGAGGTGAATAAGCTATCTGTCCTCCCTCGTCTCCGAAGCCTGACTCTCCATGGGAACCCCATAGAGGAAGAAAAGGGGTACAGGTAAGTATCTGGAGCTGGGGTCCAGATGATACCCCCTAAGGAACAAGGGGAGGGAAGACAAAAATTGAAGACCACTCTTCTCCACCTGTGGACTTTGACACTCTCCCCTTGCTCTAGAATGAACCTAGTCTTCCCAACTCACAGCCAAGCTCCCCTCCATTCCTTGCTGTCAGAAGAGATAGCAGCAACTGGGGGGGGGGGAGTCCTACTGTGGGGGCCCGCCCCCAGCCCAAGTCTTCCCCACAGGCAGTATGTGCTGTGCAACCTGCCCCGCATCACCACATTCGACTTCAGTGGAGTCACCAAGGCAGACCGCACCACAGCTGAGGTCTGGAAACGCATGAACATCAAGCCCAAGAAGGTCCGGATCAAGCAGAATGTACTCTGAGATTTGAAGGACCCCAGCACGCCCAATGCCCTGAGGATGATCAGCTTGGTTTGACAATAAATAATTTGAGCTGTTCAGCAGATTAAAGTCCCCTGTACCTTGTAAGGACGCCTGCCTTCCATGCCCAGCAACTACCAGAAAAACTTAATAGTGGATACAAAGGCCTACTGGCCTGGCCTGAGCCCAAGAGCCTGCTTGTTACCGTGTGGGAAACTCTCTTGTCCTCACTGGGTCCCCTTTGGACTCTTTAGCCTTCAGGGATCACGGGAATGGAATAGTTTAGCAATTTCCAAAAATCCTTGAATTTGTAGAAATCTTCTTGCCTCTGCTTCTTGAGTGCTGGTATTACAGGAATAAGCAAACAAGCCTCACCCAAAATCTTCAAAAAGGGCCAAGGTATGCGGAGCTGCCTTAAATCTCCAGAGTAGAGCCAGAAAATTGCTGTGATCTGTTTCTTTCTTTCTTTTTGTTTTTTTGTGGGTTGTTGTTTGTTTTTTCGAGACAGGGTTTCCCTGTGTAACAGTCCTAGCTCTCCTGTAACTAGCTCTTGTAGACCAGGCTGGCCTCAAACTCACAGAGATTCACCTGCCTCTGCCTCCTGAGTGCTGGGATTAAAGGCGTGCAGCACCATCGCCCAGCCTGTGATCTATTTCTATAGAGCAGAGTAGTTTTATACTTTCAGGTTGTGATTCTGGTTAAGATTTAATTTCCTAGATGGGCAGTGGTAACACCCACCTTTATTCCCAGCACTGGAGGCAAAGGCAGGTGAATCTCTGTGAGTTCTAAGATAGCCTAAACTACATAGTCAACAACAACAACAAAACTTCATTTTCTGAAAAGAATAACCAGTGGAATATGACCTCCTCCCACCCCTAGGGGCTATGTGTAAGCCTGCTGAGCTGGTGAGGACACCAACAATCACAGCTGCCTCCCATTCAAGTATGTACAGCTCTGACAGTGTCAGCTCAGCATCAGTAGATAAGGGAAAATAGGGAACACCTACCTGAGGTTACCCACACTCCATCAGCTAAGACTTGGCAACCCTGAACTTTTGCCTCCTGGATTCCTCTTTAATGCTCTGCATCTCACTGCTCACAAACTCTCAACAGCCAAAAATAAACAGTGGAGTAGTGGGCAGGACAGAGCAGGCTGAGCCAGCAACACAAATGAATGGACTTCCTTTATCGAGGGGTGACAAACAAAAACAAAAAGACCAAACACGTAAAAACCCAGGGTGCTAGATATACAAACTCAATTCGGATTCAAGCTCATCTAGACCCTGGTCATAATCCCTAGTGAGGTGCCTCTGAGCACCAAGTCAGAGAATGGGACAGGAGTGAATTGGAGGCCAAGAGAAAGGGTGGAAAGGGGATTCCCCTAGGTCTCCCGTTGTTCACCCTTACAGTGGTATCTCCATCTTCCCAATGACCGTGAAGATCTGCCAGGCCCTGTCCTCTTGGCCCTAACCTCACCCCAGCCAGGACTTGAAGACCAGTGGCCACCGGTTCTCCCTCCCTTGCTCAGTCCTCACTTGCTCAGGCTTCTAGCCTTATTCTCTTCCTCCACATTCTTCTCCGTGATTAGTAGCAGGTTAAGTACTGTAGAATGCCACAGTGAGGCTGGGGCCAGAAGAGGTGGGGTGGAGACGGGATGAAGAGGAGGAAAGAGCTGTCCCAGGACCCCTTTCTTCACGGGATCCCAAACTGTACAACCAGCTCTTCTTTCGCGTCCACACGGATCTGAGAAAGTGCACTGTAGGCATAAGCAGCTATCCTGGAGACCTGAGGCAGAGGAGCCAGGGAGGAAAAGAACAGACATGAGAGGGAGAACTGGGAAAGTGGAAGATGAAATAGCAATAAAAGGATTGATGAAGGACTGAAAGCCAGAAAGAGCTGGGTGTGATGGTGCTTGCCTGTAATCCCATAACTCAGGGGACTAAATCGGGAGCTGTAACAGTGAGTCCTCTCAAAAAAAAAAAAAAAAAAAAAAAAAAAAAAGAAAGAAAACCAAAAAAGAAAAAAGAGAGATTGGAAAGATGTCTCAGCAGTTGAAAGCACTGGCTGCTCTTCCAAAGGACCTAGGTTCAATCTTCAGTACCTACACCATGGCTGACAACAGTCTATAACTCCAGTCCCAGGGGATCTGACCTCTGGCCTCCATAAGCACCAGACACATAACTGGTGCACAAACATACATGCAGGCAAAACAGCCATACATGTAATTTTTAATTAAATATATAATTTAAAATGTAGGTACTACCGTAGGTTGAGCTTCTGCCTAAGCTAAATTCTTGTAGTTCTAGAAGAGATGACTGAGGGCTGCAGACATGGCTCAGTAAGAGCTTGTCAGATATGTGCAATAAATGTACATTCTATCCCTAACACCACAGGAAAAAGGAAAGAATAGTGAATTGTTGAATACCTATAGATTTTCCTAAGCCAAAAAAAAGTTTAGGCAAAAGAAAACTGCCTAAACTAATCTGGCATGGCTAAGAAAACACCTACCAGTCAGGGCAGTGAGGACCTCTACCATGTTGTCCAAGTGTTCCTACAAGCTTGACTTTGCTGCTGCCCAGGGGGATCTTCATCTCTGTCATTGTTAGCTCCTGGTCTCCTCTTTTCTCCTCCTCCTCCTCCTCCTCCTCTTCTTTTCTTCTTCTTCTTTTTTTTTTTTTTTTTTTTTTTTTTTGATTTTTTTTTTTTTTTTNCCCATAACTCAGGGGACTAAATCGGGAGCTGTAAAAGTGAGTCAAAAAAAAAAAAAAAAAAAAAAAAAAAAAAAACAAGGGTTAGGTTGTAGTTTACTGGTAGAACACTTGCCTAGCATGCACAAAGTCCTGGGTTTTATCTTTGGTAGGAGTAAGAGAGAGGAGGGAGGGCGGGAGAGAGGAAGCAGATGCTGGAAGACTAAAGGGTGTGGGGAAGAACTAAGAAGGCTATAACAACTAAGAGAACAAGGTGGGAATAAGCTGGGCTCACCATAGGCCAGGCTCCCTCCCTTCTGTGAAGCAGTGTGGGAAGGGGATAGGGGACAGGCCAGGAGTGCTCACCTGCTGCAAGTCAGAGAAGGGGATGGGCTCGCTGGCCAGCACTTGGTGAGGCTGGCTGGTGAGAGACGGCAGCGGTGGTAGCTTCTTCCAATGCGTCAGACTGCTGCTAAGCACGGCCAAGCGGGTACTGGCCAAGAGGGGAGGGGTCATGGAAAGACAATTAGGCCAAAACTTGCCCTGCCCTACCCTGCCCAGCAAGCCTCACTTACCATGGCCAGGGGACCATGGTGACAGGGTACAGCTCATCACAAACTCACTTGGCTGTACTCCTTTGGCCTGATCACCCTTGATCAAATATATTGGGCAAACAGGGCTGACTTGAACGCCTGAGGCGCCTAAGTGATCTGTAGTCAGTCTTCTGGGCTGCACCCAAATGAAGAGCCTGGACGGGGACCAGACTCCAAAGCTAGCAAGGAATGACTAGGAGGCTGGCACTGTGCTCACCTGTATTGCCTTGCCCGGTCCATGTATTCATGCTGCTCCATGCCCTGGGAGTCTGCAGCAGACACATCAATGATGTTGCTTTGAAGAGAAGAGACAGAGAAGACATGACAGCTGCTTCCGAGAGGCACAGACAAGTGTCAGTGCTAGTTCAAGTCCAATGATATCTGACACGAATACTCCCAGCTGCCCACTGGCATTTCTCCCTAGTGACCTTGTCCCCTGCCCCTGCCTGGTCCCGTGACACTCACCTGGCTGTCTTGGCAAGGATAGAAGAAAGCAGGGCCTGTTCATCTGTGCGAGCTGAAGGTAGGCTGTTGTAGTTGGGCTCAGCTCCATTGAGGGCTTTGGTGGGGGTGCTACTGGGGTCCAGCAACAGCTTCCGCTCCTCCCGATCCTAGAAGGGGCCAGTAGAAAAAAGTCAGCCCCAGGACCTTAAGTCTAAACTTCATTTCTTCTCACAGGTCCTCTCCTCAGACCAGCTCTGACCTTTAAATACTATTTTTATAAAGGTAACTCAAAGTGTCCAAAGTCAGAAAATATCCAGTCTCTGACTGGCCCAAAGCTGGTGGTGGTCTAGGATGAACCTAGAGAACCGGAAACATTCAGGAAGGAACAAAGCAGGCATTTGCCAGCAGTCCTGCAGCCTGAGTGTGAACTGCTCAACACCTACTGGAGGCTACTGGAAACTAGAAGCCTGAGCAAGTGGGAAAGTACCAACAAAATAAGGGTGTAAAGGAGAAATGGATACAAGTCAGAACCCAAGAACAGCCTTCCTGGTTCACTGGAAGTACTTCCCAGCTGTCCCCCAACACAGTGAGGCCCTGTTGAAGCCAGACAAGGCCCTGGACCCCAAGACAAATCAGGCCCACTGGCACTTGCCTTATATTACCTTAAGGCAGAAACTCCTAGCCCACAACTGAGACACAGCCATTATCCTCTCTTCGTTCTCTAGGATCTCTGTAAGGCCATCACAAGAAACAACACACACATGCACACAACACAGTCTTTCCATGTTCCCTAGGTTGCCCTGGTACTATATAACCAAGTTGGCCTGGAACTTGCCAGTGTCCAGATTCTACCTTCCCCAGTGCTGAGATTACGGGTATGTTCTGAGCGTTCACCCTCCTGTAGCCTGGTACCTGGCATGTGCTGACCTCAGAGGAACAGTGGATCTGCTCCTCCCTGCCAAACTGCACTCTTTCCCCAACATCCTCCTCAGTCTTTCGCAGCCCTGCTATTATTAGCCTATATAGACAACCATAACCACCAGAATGAATCTAGAATTAAACCAGGTCTATCTTCTACAACTATTTCCTTGTCCTGGTTCAGATCCCTGTTCTAATCTACTGCTTTCTAGGCTCAACACTGCCTTGAGTCCATCAGCCCCAAATCCCGCTGGTGTTGTGTCAGGTGCAGTCTGGATAAGCAGACCTGCTGATGTCTATGTAGGCCACTTCTGGAGGAATAGAGTGTAAAGGAGGGAATGCCAGCTAATGCTGACCCATCAATTTTTGTGGCCAACTGCCAGTCTCAGCACTCTCCTCCCAGCCTGTCTCAGTTCCTCCCAGCTTCCCTGCTGCAGGAGCTGATCCCTTACCCACAACTCACCCTACAGAGAGCTACTTCCTCCTGTCTTGCCTGCCCCACCCCACACAGGCTCAGCCTTTCCACCTTGCCCTTCCTCCTCAGGTCATCTGACTCAGTTCACCCTGGCAAAAGGAAGCATCTATGGCCTTCTGCCCCATTTATCTCTAGGTTCCCAGACAACCTTTCTCCCTCTTCAGTATTAACAGGCTAGAAAGATAAAATGCCAAAGATGAAAGGATCTCTAAGGAAAGCTAGCTGCTAGCTCCTAACGAGACCCACAATGCTTCCTGCGTCCGTTTTTCCATCCCCAGTCCTGACATCTTCCTGCAGGACCACAGTGTCATCATCACTCCCATTCCCCCATCAGGGGTTCAAGAACAAGGTTATCTTTCTAACTTCCTGAAGAGGCCCAGCAACCCCAAAGAGCAGACAAACTGGGCCAAGAGTAGTGGTGGACACCTTTAATCCCAGCACTCATGGAAGGCAAAAAGATCCGTGAGTTAAAACCAAACTGGTCTATCTAGCAAGTTCCAAGCCAGTTAAGGCTAGAGTCACCCCCACTCCCCCCAAAAAAAGTTGACATCACCTGACTCCCAAAGAATGAGTGGTACACGGAGTAAGTTTGCCTCCCAAGCCAGTACAGCCTGAGTTAAGATCTCACCATCTACTTTAGCCCACAGCGTCTGCCTGCAACTTCTTCAGTGCAGAGAGCCCATGTCTTGTGCTTGAACACACCATGACTAGATTACTTCATTTTTATTTCATTTTCTTTGTTTTGTTTTTTTGAGACACAGTTTCTCTGTAGCTTTGGAGCCTAGCTATTGTAGACTAGGCTGGCCTCGAACTCACTGAGCTCCGCCTGCCTCTACCTCCTGAGTGCTGGGATCAAAGGTGTGCGCCACCACCACCCGGTTTTGGCTAGAGTACTTCTAATGTTAACTAAACCTTAGACCCTCTGAGCTTTTTCCTCAGCTTTAAACAGATATTAACTCATATGACAGGTAATGTAAAAGCCTTCTAAAGACCTTAATATTTGTACATTTCTCTTTTGCTTTGAGATAGGCTCGCTATGTACCTCAAAACTGGCCCCAAACTATGTAGTCAGACAGGCCCCAAACATGAAGCCGTTCCCCACTTCAGTCACCAAAGTGTTGGATTTTAAGCGTAAGCCAAGAGGGATGGCTTTCTTATAATAAAGGGGCAGGCAGGGGGACAGGAGGGCTGGGGAAATGACCCTATTGGTACATGTCTAGCAAGCATAAAGCACTGGGTTTGATCTCCACTACTGAATAAACTGGACATCCATGGCACAGGCCTATGATCCCAGGACTCAGGCAGAAACGGGAGAATCACAAGTTCAAGGCCATCCTCAACAACACAGCAGGTTTGCCAGTCTGGACTACATGAGCCTTTGTCTCAGCCAGAAATGAGACTCAACCAGGGGAAGTTGGTCCTCTTCCCACCAGGCCACAGCTCTGTCATCAGGCAGGAATACTGCCCTCTCCTTTCTGGATGTTTTGGGATGGGTTCTTGTTTATGCTCTTCTCTCCTTTAATAGGCCTGGATAAAGTAAAAGATTCTTGCTACACGGCTTGTCAAATTCAGGTCAAATAACTTGTTTGAGGATCCGGAACCAATCACCCTGCCAAACAAATCACGTTTTCTTGAACTGCAGTTTCAAGAACTACAGTTCGCTGGTGAAAAAACCACCTCTCAAGTACAGTGATGTCACTTATTCTGACTGTACCCTCCACGAGCCCGGGGAAACTGTTCTCTGTGGCTCGGTGCCTACTCTGTGTAGGAAGCAGAACCCAGGCTTTAGGCAACTCTAAAAGGTGTGGCCAGTGGCCTGTCCCGGTGGGGCAGGGATTGCGGTGTGCAGAGGAATGAGGTGCACCAAGGGGGAGATGGAAAACTTCAAATACAAAACCCTGTAAGTCTCTCCAAGCTAATGTTTTCTCCAAGGGAATAACTCTACAGTCACATTTTTCTGAGTGGCAGTCTCTAGCTAGAGGAACCTTCAGGCACAGACTGGGAACAGGAAGCCAAACACATAAACAAAATCAACTCCCTATCCCCTCTTTCCTCCATGTCGGTCGAAGCTAAACTCTACTGCTTCCCTGACATCCCGACGTCTCCACTCTACTAAATAAATTCTTCACTGACCAACTCAAATGCCACCAACTTCCAGAGGCCTTCCGACACCAGGCCAGCGATGACATTACATCTCTAACATCCATCAATTTCTTATTTATCTCAGGAGACTAAGTGCCTCAAATTACCTATCTCTAAGAACGGGTTCGTAAAGTCCACTTATACAAGCAGCAGTGAAGGGATAGGAATCTGGGAAAGCGAATGCGTCCCAGGCACCCAGCCTGAGGCTTCAAGCTGTGAAAGTTCTGAGGGTATCAGAAAGTGGAAGGGGAGGGGCCGAGTCAGGCGGCGGCCAGTGCCACCCTAGGCTGGAATAAGACCAGGATCCCTAGGAGGGTAGGAGCCCTGCTCGGCGTCCTCTCTGTAATCTGTCCCCTCCAGGCCTCCGTACTCCGTGAGCCTGCAGTCCGGCTCCCGGCCGCTGCGGGCTTCTTTCTGGGCCCCAAGTCCCGCGGTCGTAGCCCACAGTCCCAAACCCGCCAGCCGCGCCGCACCTGGTCCGAGTCCTCGTTTTCGCTGCTATAGCAGCACCCCATGGCGGGGTCGGGCCGGGCGCTCAGGCGGCGCCGAGGAGGGACGGCGTCCGTCAGGAGCCTTTCCGGTCACATGACCCGCAGCTGCCGCCAGCTCCCCTCCCCCGCCCAGCCTGTCCCAGAACCTCTAGGACGCCACTGCCAAATCGCGACTTCCGGTCCCGCCCCTCCGCGTGACCATAGCCGACCAATGGAAAAGCGCATCCTACGAGCAGGGCGCGCGGCACGTGACCTGAGGGGCGGGTCACATGATTTTGTTTTCCCAGTCTCTGGCTCTGAATCCTTCGGTCGCCTGGCCGGAGTGTGAGTTGTGAGATCACGTGGTGTCAAGGCCACCTTTGTGGGTGCGAACTCTGTTAGATAAACTGTTCAGCGCCACGGGAGGGACGCGCTTCCCTCGAGAGCCAATTGCCAGTTTCTTTGTATCTGTGTGACCAAGGTTTCTCCTTGTAACCTGGCTAGCCTGAAACTCGCTATGTAGACTAGACTGGTCTCAAATTTAGAGAACCACTTGCTTCTGCCTTCCGAGTGCTAGGATTACATGTACGTCTGTATGCCCGGCAAAACTGTGTACGTATATGAGTGTGAACACGTGTTAGGCTGAACGTGTGAAGATCACGGAATGACTTGTGGAAGTTAGTTGTGTCTTTCCACCATGTGTTTTCTAGGGATTGAAGTCAGGTGGTCAAACTTTCTGGCAGGCGGCTTCTAGCCACTGAACATCTCTAGTCCCCTGTTTGGCAGTTTCTTGATTAAGGTGAATTATGCCTGCACAGGCAGATGACAGACAGTCCTCCCTCCACGTTATGGATTACAGCCCAAATACAAACCTTCTCTGATCCTATTCTGAGCACTTTTCCTCCCTTTACTTAACCCAGTGGTATTTACTTATTAATTAGCAAATGCTTGGGCTAGAAACGATTCAGTGATGAGAAGCACTGACTGCTGCCTCCAGAGGATCGGAGTTCAATTTCCCAAAACCCACTTGGTGGCTCACAATCATCCAACTCCAGTCCCAGGATAAACGGTGCCCTCTTCTGGACTCATTACAACATGTACACCGTGTATAGACACACATGCAGATCAACCAGGAATACGCATATTTTTTTTCTTTTTTTGTGTTTGTTTTCCTGTTTCAAGACGGTTTCCCTGTGTAGCTTTTGGAGCCTGTCCTGGAATTTGCTCTATAGACCAGGCTGGCCTCAAACTCACAGAGATTCGCCTGCCTCTGCCTCCCCAGTGCTAGGATTAAAGGTGTGTGCCACCACTGCCCGGCTGAATACACAAAAAATTAACCCCCCCCACACACACACCAAGGGCTGGAGAGATGGCTCAAAGGTTACCAGCACTGGCTGCTCTTCCAGAGGTCCTGAGTTCAATTCCCATCAACCACAAGGTGGCTCACAACCTCTTCTGGCATGCTGGTAGAACACTATATACATAATAAATAAATCTTCAAAACAAAACCACAAATATTTACTGGCTATAGTGTGCCACTCCCTCACAATTGTGGAATTCCCTAGTCTAGTGATCACACTGAATTTTATTGAGTTTCTGACTTCATCACTTCTACCAAATGTGAGCCACTGAAAGACAGCCTAACTTCTCTGTGACCTATGCCCTAACACTTACAGAAAACTTGGATTTTGAACTGAGTAAATATGTCTCAATTATTTTGGCTTGTATCATGCCCCATGTCCTGATCCCAAGGGCTTGGGAGATGTCACCAGGCCTATCAGCATTTATTAATTCTTTAAGACCCTAGAGTTCTGCTAAGTTTCTCTAGGGTACCTGAAAAAAGGAGGCAGCTGAAGTTTGTCACTGGGCCTGGTAACCTGAGCAACAGGTCTCAGGTAACAACAGCCTCAGCATCAATAATTGAAATCAGGTCCAGTCTCCTTCTTCAGGGTTATTCCTCTCAAGGACTTCCCATTCTGGTACTCTGGTCTTTTCTAGGAGCCTTCAGCCCAGGTAAGCAGGGCCTTGTGGGTTCCCAATCCCACCAATTCCTGCCCATATCACAAACCTTTTTACATTCATTCATATACTCTAAATTTTAGCATACACTCCCCTTCCAACTAAAGGTCTTGCAAAAACAGTCTGCCAAGGTCAGATCTGGGTAGGGGGGGCAGTGGGAGGAAAAAGGACAGCTATCCCCTAAAGGGTCCTGGAGAGGAAAGCTGGATAGTGTAAAAGTGGGGTGTGTGTGTGCATGTTTCACTTACGAGGCGAATTCTTATTGGGGAAATAGAAAAGCTGAGACAGACTGGAGAAAATACATAGAACCAAGGAGGACAAACACCTCAAGAGAAGAGCAGACAGAAAGAGACCTTGGATAGAATTAACTTGGTAGGTTGAGTTTATTTTTGAGACAGGGTCTCAGATGTAGCTCACATTGACTTGAGATCCTTCTACCTTGGCCTTCCTCATGATGGGATTACAAGTGCGCACCAAAATACCATGGATAGTACTTATTTTGTTCTTTTAAAAGATTTTATTTCTATTTCATATGTATGGATGACTTCTGTGCACCATGTGCATGCAGTGTCTGTGGAGACCAGAAGAGGGCATCAGATCCCCTGGAACTGGAGTTACCGACAGTTGTGATTAACCAGATGCTGGTGTTGAGAATCAAACCCAGGGCCTTTGAAGAGCAATCAGTGATTTTCACCATAGAGCCAGCTCTCCAATGTTTGGGATTTTTGTTGTTGTTGTTCGGTTTGTGTGTGTGTGTGTATGTATTTTTTTTAATATTTATTTATTTGTCATGTATACAATATTCTGCAAGCCAGAAGAGGGCACCAGACCTCACTACAGATAGTTGTGAGCCACCATGTGGTTGCCGGGGAATTGAACTCAGGACCTTTGGAAGAGCAGGCAATGCTCCTAACCACTGAGCCATCTCTCCAGCCCTGTTTTGTTTAGTTTTTTTGCTAAGGTTTTTTTTTGTTTTGTTTTGCTTATACTCGTGTTCACCACTGGGTGAGCCCTTGAGGGGGTTGGATCTCCTGGAACTGGTGTTATAGATGTCTTTGAACCACCATGTGAGTTCTGGGACTGAACTGAGATCCTCTTCAAGAGCAGCAAGTGCTTTCAACCACTGAGCCATCTCTCCAGGCCCAGGCATAGTGTTTGATCCTTTTAATAAAGTAAAGCATGGTGAGAGCATGACGGGATTTGAAGACAAAGCTTTTGTCTTTTTTTTTTTTTTTTTTTTTTTTGGTTTATTTTGGTTTTTCTTTCTTGAAACTGGGTTTCTCTATGTAGCCCTGGCTGCTCTGGAAAGCACTCTGTAGACCAGGGTAGCCTTGAACTCAAAGAGATCCTCCTGCCTCTACCTCCTGAGTGCTGGAATTAGAGGCATGTGTCACCAGTGTCTGGCAAGCTTTTTTCTTTGGCTACACTATAATGGATCAGAGATTATAGGAGGAAGATATGCCAAGAAACTGATGAAAAGGTCCTGAAGAGGAATGATGTTAGGGAGGTACGAAAATGGGCGGGTGTAGGAACAGTACAGAAATGGACCCTGTCAGGACTAGAAAGGGAGACAGCTGTGGCTGGGCACTAACCAACCACAAGCAGCACGGCGTGACGAGTGCAGAGCACATAGGCTGGATTCGAATCCGTCTCTCAGCCGGGTGGCAGCGGTGCACACCTTTAATCCCAACACTCAGGAAGTAGAGGCAGGCAGATCTCTGTGAGTTCGAGACCAGCCTGGTCTACAAGAGCTAGTTCCAGGACAGGCTCCAAAGCTACAGAGAAATGGTGTCTCGATAAACCAAAAGTCAGTCTTTGTGAACCATGGTTTGGACAAGTGTGGTAACAGAAAGTGATAAAGGCTGCACAAACGACAGGCAAATAGTGCACGTAGGTCTCCCTCCCAGCCTCCCTCTGTCCTAGGACTCAGGTAGGAACAATGTCCCCTGCCATCGCACTGGCACTCCTGCCACTCGTGGTGACACTGCTGGTGAGGTGCCGACACCATCTCCGACTGCTGCTGCACACAGTCCTGCTGAGGAGCTTCAGGGACTGCCTGTCAGGCCTTCGAACTGAGGAACGGGCCTTCAGCTACGTGCTCACCCATGCTCTGCCTGGAGACCCTGGTCACATCCTCACCACTCTAGACCACTGGAGCAGCTGCTGCGAGTACCTGAGTCACATGGGCCCTGTGAAAGGTCAGCGTTCCCTTCTCCAGCCTTCTGTTCCAGAAATAATCCCAAGATAGTGATCCCAGCACTCAGGAGGCAGAGGCAGGCGGATCTCTGTGAGTTCGAGGCCAGCCTGGTCTACAAGAGCTAGTTCCAGGACAGGCTTGATAGCTACAATGAAACCCTGTCTCGAAAAACCAAAAAAGAAAAAAAAGGAAAAGATAGTGGGGAAAGATCTGGTATCTGGTATTCACTGCTTTGCTGGGTACGTAGGAAGCTTCACGCCTGTGTTTATGACTTTTGTTTTTCATTTGGAAATGAGAAGCCTGGACCAAGTTATTCAATTATCCAGCAGACATTTATTGCCACTCTTTGTACCAGGTGCTGAGGGAGGAGGTAGAAGTCACAGAAGGTGAACCAGCCACAAATGCTGGCCCCAGAGAGCATAACACAGGGGGGAATCGTAACTCAGAACTTTGTAGTTATCTGTACTAGATTTTCTTTCCTACCAGAGGCTTCCACATCCAACTGAGGATAGCTGTCTGTCTAGACAGCACAGTACTTCTAAGTATTCTGAGACTTAGCCAATTTCAAAATCAAAACCACAATGAGCAATAAGGGAGTACAGGGGTTTGAGGATGAAACTGGAAGTGTCCCAGGAGCCTTGAAGATAAGGGGGTTGTTTTGCCTGAACCCCCCTGGAGGAAGGAACATTTAAACTGAGTCTAGAACGCTTGGATGGAGGTAGGTGTGGGCAAGGGCAGTCAGCCTGTCAGCCTCATGTATAAATACAGCATGAAGCAAGCACAGCGGCATGTTTGATACCGGGCACACTTGGTTTAGATCTCTTCTACAACAGCCATCTTACCCCATAGGTCAGATTCTGATGCGGCTGGTGCAAGAGAAGGCCCCTGCTTGTGTGCTGGAGCTGGGCACCTACTGCGGATACTCTACACTGTTTATTGCGCGGGCTTTGCCCCCTGGGAGTCGCCTTCTCACTGTGGAGCGGGACCCTCGTACAGCAGCAGTGGCTGAAAAACTCATCCGGCTGGCTGGCTTCGATGAGCAAATGGTCAGCTTCCATCTCCTCAGCTTGGGGCCAGTTTCTTTTGGGAAAGTCTCCCATTCAAGGAAGCAGCTCCACTCAGGCAGCTGGCATCCTGGAGGGCATGTTCCTCCTACTCCCTCAATCCCGAGTCATCTGCTCTTATTTTCACGGACTATAACGGCAGCAGCTAAGAGGAAGCGCTCCACAGCCAAGCAAATCTCAGTCCAAATCTTATTGTTCAGTTAGTTGTGTGACCTCAGGTACAGCACATCCTGTGATTCCCAGCTTCTTCACGGCACATACTAGGAATTACAATACTGATGCTGACTACTCAATTTCTGAGGCCGGAGGAAATGGGAGACACTTGTGCAGGCCTAGACTAGTGCCGGCATGAGATCAGTCTGTCATGGGGGTCAGGAGAGGGGAGGCAGTCCTTCCTATTCTCACCTTCACCATGGCTTTCCCCACAGGTGGAGCTCATTGCGGGCAGCGCAGAGGAAGTGATCCCACGCCTGAGAGCTCAGTACCAGCTGAATCGGGCAGATCTGGTGCTGCTGGCACATCGGCCTCGTTATTATCTACGGGACCTACAGCTCCTGGAAGCCCATGCCCTACTCCCAAGTGGTGCCACTGTATTGGCTGACCATGTGCTTTTCCCTGGTGCACCGCGCTTCCTACAATACACAAAGAGCTGCGGCCGCTATCGCTGTCGCCTCCACCACACCAGCCTCCCAGACTTCCCTGCCATCAAGGATGGCATAGCCCAACTCACCTATGCTGGACCTGGCTGAGATCCAGGACCTGGGTGGGATATTTACTGATACAACCCCAACCCCACTCAAGCAAGGACCTCAGAATATCCCCTTTCCCTTTGTTTAGTGTCCAGCATATGCTAGGTTCAGGCTGGGGAAGCTTTCTTCTCAACTCGGCCTGCCCCCAACCTCTATATCAATCCAAAGTGTCAAATTCTATCAGTCTTCTTGGTCCCACAAGATCCTCTCCTAGAAAACTGGAGACTGCAAGCAGGAGTCCTGAGCCCTTGTTCTGTTAGCAATTGCTCCCTCCAGGTGAGTCCTTCCTTCTTCTGAGATTGCTTATTCTCTTAATATTAAGGGCTGGAAAGATGGCTCAGCAGTTAAGAGCACTGGCTGCTGCTCCCTATCTGGAGGACTCAGGTTCAATTTCCAGCACTCACATGGCACAGGCACACATGTGATATTCATACACACATACATACAAAAAATCTCTAAGCATAAATAAATTACAACAAAAAGAAGACAGCTGGCTGGCAGAGCCCCCAGAGCCTCCCAGCTGTGGGACTCAGACAGCTTCTGGATGGAATCAGAGGCAGCTGCAGACAATGAGGCCCCGTAGAGCATCCAGGTGCCAGCTAGGCCACAGGAATTATCAATCACAGAAGCCTGGCCTCCGATCCTAGCCCACCTGATCCATTAGGTTTGCCTGAGATCCCTTAAATGACCCCTTCCCACTGTCCAAGAAAAGATAACTGGACTCCTCTGGGTCCCACCAACAAACAGGGAATAGACATTGGGGAAAAGAATCAGTCCTGTGTCTTTATTAAAGAGGGTTAGAAAGAGACCACACCTGGCAACCAAGGAATGAGGTACCAGCCAGGAAGGTGGGATGGGCTCAGGCTCTCAGGATTCAAGGGAAGACTGATGGCCTGGGAGGGCCCAAGGAGACCTTGTCCTGGAAGCAGCAGAGACAGTGCCTGAGGGTAAGCTTTAGACACTACAATCACAGCTGGTTCTGCAGGCTGAGGGGCTGAGGCTGTGGATGTAAGATAGGTTGGGGTGGCCTGGAATCACCCTGAGGCCACCTTGGCTTGTCTACCTAGATCATCCACTGGTCCTGATCCTGTTCGTTGCCTTCCATGTCCACCTGAAGAGGAGGCTGGGTGTGGGTGGGGAGGGGCCTCAGCCAGTCTCAGCCCAGATCCTGCCCCTGGGTAGAGCCAGGGTTTCTGCATCCCTCGGCCATCAGTTAGATCGGGGGCAGGAACAAAGGCACTCCCTACACCCCGCCTACCTCGTTGACCTCTCCATCATCAGGGGACTCATTATAGTCATTCATCTCATCCATGTCCTGCATGTCCTCATCATCTTCTGAATCCTCTTCACTGTCCTCGTCATCTTCATCATCCTCTTCCTCTTCATCATCATAGTGCTGGTGGGGCCAGAGAGAGTCTGGAGGTCTCAGGGCTACCTGGGCCAGGTCAAGAGCTAGCCTACAGGGAGCCTCCTCCTTTCCAACCCTGCCCACCTTGAGTATGGGAGGCGGCTGCATGACATGAAGGACCTTAATGCTAGGCCTAATGCCTACCCCCTCAAGTTCCCACTTTTGCTGTCTACTCTTATTAAGAACAAGTGTTCTGAGTCAGAAGCAAGGCCATTAAATTAAAATGAAGCCCTGGTCTACTGGGCTCCATATCGTCCCCACCCACTGGGGCCACTCACCTCTGAGGCTGGCTTGCCAATAGGTACCAGGTTGTTGTCTTTCTCTGCGATGCTTTGGAGCTGTGGGCAAAGGAGTTTGGGGAAAAGTAGGGCCAAGGCCCAAGCAGAGCAGGTCAAGGGCATGGGACTGGCGTACTCTATCCCTTCCAAGATCCCCAAATGTTGAAACAAAGCTTCTCTCCCCCCACACCCAGTTCTCAGGAAGATTCGACCCCTTTTCTCCTGTCATCTGCTCTTTATAAAACTTGTGTGTGAAGTCTTTTGGCCTCAGGTTTCTCATATAATTCTGGAGAGAGTAAAGTGAGACACTCAGCCTGGAATATGGCATCTTGTAAGTAATTAAGTTAAAATCATTAAGTCCTGTGATTAAATATAGATAGAATTTAGGCTATCTGGAGCTTGACAAGTAATCTAGCCCTGAAGTCCTATGTTCCCTCAAGCAGTTAGGGCTCCACAAAATAAGAACTTCAGCCTCCAAGTACCCAGCATGACTGATCCCAACTCAGAGAGAAATGCTTTTCCAAGCAGGTCTCCAGGATAAGGTAAGGTTGTCTCCATGCTGAGCTAGGTCCTCACTCACCCAGGCCTGATGCTGCTGCTCCTGCTGCTGCAGCTCTGTCTCCTCCACACAGGGTCGATCCAGATTAAACCACAGTGTCTCAGTCACACGAGGGAACAGTGACGGGAACAGGGTGGACATGGCCCCTAAGCTGAGGGAGAGGGTCAAGTGAGTATGTTTTGTTTTGTTCTGATGCAGTTGTAATTTGATTTAGGGGTGGGGTGGAGTGGAAGGCAGCAGAGAAGCTTCCCTTCCCTTTCGAAATCAGACAGACCTGAGTTTGAGTCCTGGCTCCATCACTTACTAGCTGTTTGACTTTGGCCAATACACTTAACCTCTCTGGGCCTCAGTTTCCTCATCTGTAAAAATGGGGATAATAACAATTATATCATCCTTAGTTATTCTGACAACAAAACAAAATAATGGATAAAGTTCTTTGCTGCTTAAGGAGAGAAGAGACTGGGAGCCAGAGATGGAATGTGGCATTGTGATTATTTACAAAATTAGCACTAGCAGGAATCCAGTAAGTCTCCTTTAACACACACACACAGAGACATCATAAAACCCATTCTTTGCTCTTTTGATTCATATCACATCCAACCAGTGCAAAAATGTTTTGGACATGAACCACCTCTCACCGACCAGTGAAACTACACTACACACAACTAGGAAGCATGGACAAATAGACAGACAATAAGCAGAAGAATGAATGATGAACTGACATGTAAGAGAACAAATAAAATCAACTTTGTGGATTAAAGCTGAAGCCCAGGAAGGCCATCAAGAAGGTGATTTAAAATCTATCAGCTCATAAGACCCAGTGACAGGTAGGCTAGACTTTAGGTCGCACGCTGGGTGGGGTTTATTTAGAACATACACAAGGGATCCTAGTCCAGCGATGTAGCAAGAGCACAGAAAAACCAGAATTGGTGCCCCCCCCCTTTTTTTCCCAATGAGATGGGGTCTCATTAAGTAGCCCTGGCTAGTATGGAACTCACTATAAAGACCAGGCTAGTCCCAAACTCACAGAGATCCGCATGCCTCAGCCCCCGAATGCTGGGATTAAAGGCGTGCACCAGCCATCACACTCGGCTCTACTCTATCTTTTGTTCTAATCTGATCCACGCAGAACTAGCCGCTGCCATTCCCTACACCAAAGCTTCCCAGGCCCGTGTGACAGGAAAACAGCGCCAACCCTCATCCCAAAAGTACTGACAGAATCTGTATCCTAAAACCCTACCCACCACCGCCCATTCTTTGCTCATTATAATAATAACTGTGAGCTTGACCAACAGGAAGGAGGCAGGGGCGGGTCTCTGACAGGTTTTTGCCCTAATAGGGATGCTAGTCGCAAAAAATGCGCGCGGCCTGGCTGAAGCCAATTAACTGAAAGAAATGCTGGGTGACAGGAAGTGAAACCAGTGAATGACGGAACTTGTGTAATGGGTGGGGCTTAGATTTAAGGAAGCGGCCAATGAGCAGGATGTCGTTAAGCGTCAAGGAGCGGAATAGAAGAGTTGCTGGGGAGGCGAGTCAAAGGAACGGGGTTTCTCTGGAAGCAGGAAGAAAGAACGAGCAAGGAGACGGCAACAGCTTCGTTTCCGCACTTACCGCGCCAAGAGCCGGCAGCCGGCAGCGACCCGGAAGCGCTTCCCCAGGCCTGAACGGAAGAATCCACCAGATTCCGGGACCCACTCGACGCATGCGTCCTCCGTCTCCTTTTGTTTCCCGCTCTTACCTACCAGACCGGAAGTGATGTGACGTAACTTAGCACGCTCTAGTTGGGGGAGGAAACTTACGTGCCAGGTCTACCTGTTAGCCCCGCCTGGAATCTCAGCCTCTGGGTTTCTGCAGATCAGCCCCTCCCCCTGCCTGGCGTTGGGTCGTGCGTGCGTACGTGAGTGCGTGCGTGTCTCTTGGGAATAATGGCTCCCAGAGACGTTCGCATGTTTGGACGTGTGTGTGTCGCTGCGTTCCAGGACGTCCATTTCCACTCTTCTCAGTCTACCGTTTGAACACATTTTTTTTTTTCGGTGAGGATACCTTGAACGTGCTAGACAAACCTGTTACGGAGCTACATCATATTCATAACATTTTCTTTTTATTTTGAGACAGGGTCTCACTGTGTTTTCCCGGCTGGCCTGAAACTCACTTTGTAGACCAGGCTAGCCTCGAATTCTTCCTGCCTTGTCCCGTACCGGTGTTAAAGATGTGCACCACCATGCTGGCCTCCTTTGAGTATTTAAAACTATCTTATGTGTATGAGTATTTGGCCTGCATGTATGTATTTGGTGCCTGGTGCTTGTAGAGGCCAGCAGAAATTGTTAGATCTCCAGAATCCAGCTGGAGTTAAAGAGGTTTGTGAGCCACCATGGTTAGGGTGCTCTGGACGTGAGTTCTCTGGAAGGGCAGATAGTGCTTTTTTGTTGTTTTCGATTTTCGAGGCAGGGTTTCTCTGCCCAGGAACTCGCTTTGTAGACCAGTCTGACTTTGAATTCTCAGAGATCTGCCTATCTCTGCCTCCCAAGTGCTGAAGAAAAGGCGTGCACCCTGGGCACCCAGGACTCTGAACCACTGTGCCATCTCCTCCACTCCTGGTTTTTCAATTTGGTTGTTTTGTTGTTGTTTTGTTTTGTTTTGTTTTTTGGTTTGTCATCGTTGTGTGAGACTTTAAGACAATCCTGAAGCCATTTTTGACAATTCTGAATCCTCTCAGCCTCTGTGCCATAGTGCTTCCCCTCCTCCCCTGGGAACCAAGGACCTAACAGCTACCCTCGCAAGTACTCAGTTCCTGAACAATTACCCATATACGTATGCTCATCTGATCTGGCAACAGCTCTCCAGTCAATTATTGGTAATAGCCCTTTCAAATAAGCCAATCAGAATAGTCAAAGAACAAGCCCCCTTGCTTCTGTAGCCCCTTTAAAAGTAGACTATACCCGCTATTCGAGGTCCCTCGGCTTCCCGAATGCTGGGGGACCCTGTCATGACAGAATTAATAAAATCCTCATGCTTTTCCATCGGCTGTAGTGTGTGAGATGGTCTCTGGGGGCGACTCCTCAGTGTTTGGACGCCAGAGTCCAACAGTTGTTCTGTCTTTCTCTATTTCTCTGTGTGTGTGTGTGTGTGTGTGTGTGTTTTATATGTTGTTTTTCAAGACAGGGTTGTTTTTCAAGACAGGGTTTCTCTTATATAGTGGTCTGGAACTCAGAGGTACATTGTACCACCACACCTGGACTTTCTCATTTTTTTAAAGCTGCTTTTTTTTTTATTTATTTATTTATTATGTATACAATGTTCTGTCTGCGTGCAGGCCAGAAGAGGGCACCAGACCTCATTACAGACGGTTGTGAGCCACCA